GACCCAATAACTGTCTTTGGTGTCAGGGCGTGACCTGTGCTCCCCGCTAGGCACAGCCCTACCTTATCCCCTCTCCTGTCAAGACCACCGTCATCTCACCAATTCTTACAGAGACAGGCGCTCAGCAATCGGTGGATGAAGCAATAAAGTGGGGCAAGGCTGGGGGTGACTTTGGAGTGTCAGAGCCCGTTCTTACCCAGGGAGGCAGCTGCTGACGGACGGTGGGGCTAGAGGAGGCCGCCAGGGGTGGCGTGTTTGACTTAGGGCTGGCAACCTCGCTGGCTTCTTGGGATAGACACTGGCCTCTGTGACTCATGGAGCCAGTAGGGATGGGTGGCTAGATTTGGCCCCCTTGGGGTCTCTGGGTGGCCACGCAAAGTCTGGGCTGCTTGCTCGGTGGCATGGGCTTTCTGGGCGGAGGCGAAATGGAGCCGGCAAGCGCCTGTCCTCCTTGGGCTGTGCTGCCACTTCTACTTCAGGTGTGGCCTGCTGGCCTTCTGCAGAGACCCCCGGGAGGATTCCAAGACAATCTGGGGTCAGGAAGGGGTGGAGTGGGGAGTGGGGTTGAGAGAGATGGTCCACTGTCCACCTTCATGGACCAGAAAGCTCAAGACTCCCCAGAGACACTGCCAAGTGGCCCCTGAGGCAGCCCAAGGCGTGGGCAGGGGGAAAAGAGGGAAAATTAAGTGGGAAAACCGGCAGACAGAGGGGCGGGGAGGACAAAGAAACAGGACAAAGGACACAGCAGGAGCACTCCCACCAGCAGTCCCACTGCTTCAAGACCCTCATTTCTCCAAAGGCAAAACCACATCCGTGACCAGCAGAAGCCGCAGAACAGTCCAAAGTGTGTGAGTTGCCAGTCCCCGCTCTACGCAGCCAGTGGCCCTGGGAACAGCCCCAATATCGACCAAGATGGAAATAAGAACCTTTCACCTCCCATCCAAGGAAATCGCGTCCCCAGCTGCGTCACACCATACTTCGTCTTTGATTCTGAGGGGTGGGGTCTTTGGTCCTACTGAAATGGCCCTGGAGCAGTGGGCTGTCACTTCAGATGACTTCTGCTCCCAAATACACTTCTTACCCTGAGATTGGAGCACACAGGAATCGCAGCACTTCACAGTTTACATATACATTTATTACCAGGGCAGGAAGCAGGGCATGCAACCTGTGCGGCTCTGGGCCCCGTCCTCAGTCCCCTGGTTGGCTTGGCACTGCGCTGTCATTGTGGAAGCCCTGTCTTTTTAGCAAGGGGCCCTGCAGGCTCATCAGGCTCGGGGCCCTGCAAGTTAGCAGCCACTCCTGTTTATTGTCCCATGTGCCCCCGCAACCAGATGGGAGAGGAGCTGGAAGGAATTGCTGCTCCAAGTCACAAATGGTGAGACTGAGACCCTGGAGGGGTGAGGCACAGGCAAGATGGGCTTTCTCAAGCCCAGCTTGAGAGCCAGGGCTTCCTCAGTGAATGGGTGTGTGGCGCTCCACTCTCCTGCCCGTCCCCACAGGGACTTCTATTTAATTTCTACTTTCATCTCATTTCGTTAAAAAAAGTCAAAGCCATTTGCTCACCTGCCAGTGAGGAGCCCCTGGAGGCTGGGTCGCCAACAGCTCTTCCTCTCCTGTGCACTGTCCTGCCCGGGAGCCGCAGAGCAGACCTGTGTGCCCAGATAAATCCACAGGCTCTCAGCTCAGTCACAGAGGGCCACAGGCAAATGCTCCGTCCTCTCTGGGAAAAGCCTCCCTGGGAAGCCCTCCTGACCTTCAGACCTGCCTCGGCCCACAGCTGGCCCCGTGCCCGTGACAGTCACTTCCTGTATTTACCTTGCAGGGCGCCAAGGGCCCAGCCAGGGTGGTGGCCGCACACCTGACCCAGAAGCCATGCAGGAGGGAAGAAGGTGCCACCGGAGGTGAAGGCTGGGAATAGCTGGAAGGGCCCCTTGGTGCAAGGTAATACTGATCGTCCCACCAAAAAGGGCTGCAGGCACGCTGGCTCCCTGCCCTGGCGTGGACCAGGCACTTGAATCTGAGATACAGGAAGACTTTGGGATCCTCTCTGACATTCTGTTCTCTTTCTTGTTTGGCCTCAGCCTGACCACTTCCAGGCAGGAGAACTGCTGCTTTTCAAGGAATTCTGCCCAATCATAGTCATTATTAATGATCCCTGCTGACAGTTTCCTTCTGTTCAATGCTCACTGCATGACAGGCCCTGGGTCAAGTGCGTAGTGTAATCTCTGTGTAATCCTTGTGTTGTCACAGTGAGCAGAGAATTATGCCCATTTTATTTTTATTTTTTAATTTTTTTTAAAGAGAGAGAGAGAGAGAGAGAGAGAGAATTTTAATGTTTATTTTTTAGTTTTCAGCAGACACAACATCTTTGTTTGTATGTGGTGCTGAGGATTGAACCCGGGCCGCACGCATGCAAGGCGAGCGCGCCACTGCTTGAGCCACATCCCCAGCCGGAATGATGGCCCATTTTAAAGAAGCACAGGCTCAGAGAAGTTAATCATTTTGCCCAAAATCACACAGGTAGTATGTTGGGTGTCCAGGATTCAAACTGAAGACCTTTGGTACCAAAACCTGGGCTCTTAACCAATACCAACATTTGCCAAGTTTAATTGTTACAATGTCCATCTTTATACAAACCTCAAATGAGCCATTGTTTTAGCTATCTATTGCTGGTAATAAATTAACCCAAAGGGTAGCGGCATGAAATCACACATACTTGTAATCTGGTTTCTGTGGGTCAGGAATCTGGGCACAGATTCTCTGCTCAGGATTTCTCACAGTCTGCAATCAAAGGGGATGGTGGGGCTGAGGTCTCATCTCCAGGCCCCACTGGGAAGGATTCACTTCGAAGCCCCTGGGGTTTATTAGCAGGATTGAGTTCCCCAAGGGCTTCAGCTTCCCCTGGCTGTTGGCTGGAGGCCTTGCCTGGTGTTTGGCCACATGGGCCTTTCTACAATGGCAGCTGGCTTCTTGAGTGTGCAGAGTCCAGAAAGATGACAGTCACAGTCTCTTGTGATCTGCTCACAGAAGTGATAATCCATCACTATGGCTGCATTCTGCTTGTTAGGAGGAATTCATCAGGCACAGCCCACGTTCACAGGCAGAGATCACACAATGGCATGGAGACCAGGAGGCGGATCCCTGAGGCCATCTTAGAAAGCTGTCTACCACAGTCATCTGATCGTCACAAAATGTTGGTTTCAGTTTTGTCTCTGCAAGCCAGATCTAGGTAGTTTCTCATCCATCCATCCAACTATCCATCATCCAGGGTCTGTCCATCTGTCAGTCCATCCATCCATCCATCCTTCATTTCATCCATCCATGGGCCCATCGGTCCATCCATCCATCCATCCATCCATCCATCCATCCATCCCTTCCTTCATTCAACAAACTTTTCAGAACATACATTAGGCTCATAAGATATCAGAATAACTGAATTATTCCCTTTTCCACTTGACTGTGCTCTGCCACCAAAGGCTCCCAGTAGCAGTCTCACCTATGTGGGGCTTGGGGAGGCGTCGCTGTCTTGCAAGAGCCTCCTTCTCCTTCCTCCAGCTGCCCTCAGATTCCACATTTCTGAGACCCTAGTCCTGCTCACTCCCTTTGCTGGGCACAGCTCAGAGCTCTGTCTCTACTATTTGGCTTTCCTGATGGAGTCAGAGGCAACAGGGTGGAGTAGGAACTGATTTCACACTCCTGGGTGGGCAGGGCAGGGAGAGGCGCAGGAGTGGCTTGAGGCCTGGTCTCACTTGCCTGTGAACCCATCTTCCCACCCAGCTCCCCCAGACCTAGAGCCGAGGAAGTGAGCTCTGAGTAGAGGGTGGCATATCAGTGGGTTGGTGAGGGGTGGATGAGGGTCAGTTGGTTGGCTGGGGTCCTGAGATGCCCAGCAGGATGTCTGCAGAAACTAAAGTTGCATACTGGACACCATCTGTTTCAAACATTTACTGGGCACCTAGTACATGTGGGTACTGTGCCAGGCCCTGGGGCTGCTACAGGGAGCATTGCAAACTGCACCTAGCTTCCCTTCTCCTCCTCCACTCCCTCACCACCCCACTGCTCCTGCAGGATGATCACAACCTCATTTAAACGGGTGTCCTGGCTTCAGTCTCCCTGGTTCACTTCTGCCCTCCCCACCCATCCCACGCAGTACTCAAGTGGATCAGCCGACACAGACCTGCTCCTGTCACTTTCTTGCTCAAAAACATTTTACATAACCTCTGTTAACAGTTTCCCAAGTGCCCTTGCAGAAATGTCTGTCTGTAATCTCTCCCTCCCTCCTGCCCGTCCCTCATGCACACACAAGTGGGGTCGCAACGAGCACGTGCTCTCCTGCAGTACTGTCTTGGTAGTTTTCCAGTTCAGTACTCTTTGAAGTTCTTCCCTGTGCTTAATGGCTGGCTGCCGTTCTGCTGTAGGAATATTCTGGGATGCTACCGAGAAATCCTTTTAAGGCCTGGGTGCCCTTGACTGAAAGCTTTTAGGATGCTTTTCTGGGTGATCATTTCTCATAGACCATTAGTGGACTTAATAATCACAAACCAAAAAAAAAAAAAAAATTAAAGGGACTATGAAATTATGCTTCAGCTGGAGCTGAATATTCAAGTGTAATGAATTTAATTCATTATAAGAGAATTTTTTTTAAGATTGATGACTTCTGGGCTGGGGATGTGGCTCAAGTGGTAGCGCGCTCGCCTGGCATGCATGCGGCCCGGGTTCGATCCTCAGCACCACATACAAAGATGTTGTGTCCGCCAAATACTAAAAAATAAATATTAAAAAAAAAAAGATTGATAACTTCTCAGGTTGAGTTTGCTTTTAGGAGTGGGAAGAAGAGAAGAATCTAAATGTTTGAAGTTTTCATTGTTGTGGTTATTTAAAAAAATAAAACATCTATATAAAAGTAATGGGCCAGACCTGCTCAAGAAAAATAACTGATTAGAAGCAGAAATTCATGTCAAAACATCTACTCACTCCCTGTTCTAAACACTTCCTGTTCTAAACACTTTCCTGGATTAACTTGTTTAATCATTTCTATAGAATTATGACAAGAAGCCAGACACATAGAGGTTAAATAGCTTGTCCAAGGTCACACAAACTTTCCGGAGCAGACAGAAATGCTGGACACAAATAAATTTGTGATATAAATGCATATTTCAATTCAAAAGCAAGAAAGGGTAAATCTCCAAGTGTCACAAATAAATAGGCAATTCTGTATTGGTCCTGGTGAGCTGAGGACTTTGTCCCTATCTTGCTTATTTGTTTTAAATGAATCTTTATGGGGACAATAATCAAAGTCTCTGGACCTGGACACAGCAGGAAGCCTGAGGAGGAGTTACAGCTCAGCAGTAAAAAAAAAAAAAAAAAGCTCCAAGCCCAGGAGAAATAGCATCACCAAGAAAGTGAAGAACAAGCAGGGTCCCCACACATGAGGTCTGACTCTTAGCCTCGTGATGTCCCGAAATCACGAGATGGAAACTGAGATAGAAATATGAGATCCTGTGAACCCTTAAGACAGGTAGAGGCAACTATGGGGAGGTCTTCACGATCCAGGGCACCAGTGGGGACGACTCCCTCCTATTGAGGATAAGCTCACACACGAAAATTGTGAAACAATTATAAAACCCTTGAGGAGCCCAACCTGAAGAAGGAATCCCACAAAAATGGAAGGTTGAAAAACGAAGAAATAGAAATACTAGAAAAATGAAAAACATATGTGTCATATTATTACTTTCACGAGATTCCAAAGTATGGCAATTCAATTTCTTTTGTTCTCAGTTAGGCAATAATGAGACTGAGCAAGCGAGGCATTCACAGGAAAAGGTTGGAAACATTTGTGTGTGGAGAAGGGTTGCTAGGGCTGTAACACAACGCCACAGGCTGGAAGGGCTTAAACAACAGAAACACTTTTGTCTCACAGTCCTGGAGGTTAGAAGTCCAAGATCAAGGTGCCAGCAGATTTGGTTCTTCTGAGGTCGCTGTCAGGTGGCTGCCTTCTCTCTGTCTTCATGTGGTTTTTCTTCTCTGTGTGTATGTTTGTGTCTAATCTCATCCTTTCATAAGGACACTGGTCGTATTGATTAGGGCCCCTCCCTGTAACCTCATTTGATCTTAAAGACCCATCTCCAAGTACACTCACATTCTGAAGTACAAGGAAGAGGTCTTCAACACGGGAATTTGGGGATTACACAATTCAGCACATAACAGAACAAACACCTTTGTTTTCACTTTCAAGTCCAATTCTACCAATTACTAACTATGTGACTTTGAACTAGTTATATAACCAGTCTTTGCCTCATTTTCTCTTGATAAACAGTACCTGTTGCACAGGGTTGCTGTTGGAATTAAATAAATTCATGTATGTAAAGTTCCTAAAAACGAGTACAAAGTGCTTGAAGAGAAAAAGAAGTAAAATAGAAAAATTTAAAAATATATTGCATTAGAAATTCTTACTGGGAATAACTTTAAATTCCATGATTTGCAAGATGAATCTCAGAAAATCACCCAGAATGAAGCACCAGGGGTTAAAGAGATGGAAAATATGAAAGAAGTCTAAAAATGCCTACAGAATAAATCAAGAAAACCCAATAGGTGTTTAACAGGTTGTTGAGAAGGAGAGAATTAAAATTGGAGGAGAGGTGAGAGTCAAAGAAATATCTGGGGACTTTTCAGTCTTGAAGGACCTGAGCTCCACATTTTAAAAAGCATGCCGAGTCCTAGGCAAGGTAAAGAAGATAGTTCACCCCTGGGCAGTCCAGAACGGAGCTGCAGAGTATCCAAGATTAAGACACAAACACACCCTAAAAACCTTCAAAGAGAAAACAGATTACCTTAAAATCACAGAGATCCCAGCAAGCCAGGCCCCTTCCTCAGACTCCAGGCCCACTGTGTGCTGGGCCGGAGCTCTCCGCTGAATGCCCTGTCTCTGCTCGTAGACATCTGATTTTTCTTCCTAGCTTTGCCCAGGTCTTGTGCCCCCTCCAGAAAGTCTTCCTACCCCTGTCCCGCCTCCCCTTAATCTGCACCATTACCCTCTGCCCCACAGTACTTGGTCCCTGGCTTCACTTCTTCCTTGTGGGTTAGTTTTTTTCCCACCTAAATCATAATCACCTGGACCTCTGGGACTCTGCTGCTCCCCAGTTAGCATGGTGCTGGTTCACAGGATGTGTTTGATGATTGTTTTTTGGTAGATGTTGCGCGGGAAGACACAAGCTGGGGCCTCAAACGTCAATATTTTTGTACATTTAACCAACTTTTCCCTAGGGGGTCAAACATAAGTTAAATTTGCAAGAGGACCCAGGCCCATGGGTACCAGCTCTTCGGGCCCCTTTCTCCACTTGGTGATCTGGCTAAGGTGGAGCCTTGGGCATCCATGAGCTGCATTTCAAAGTCTGTCATTATATTACTAACAATTATTTTTAAAATAATGCCTTTTTAAACTGTGTGTGCTTGGAAGAGTACAAGGACAATAGACATCATTTGTAATCCTACCAATTAAAATTAATTATGATGTTTATTCATTCTATATTCAACAGATATTTACTAACTGCTTTGTTTGAGACACTGTGCTAAGTTTGGGGGATGTAACAATACTTATTTTGTTTGTTTTTATTTTTAACATAGACTTTTGAGTATATAATAAATTGACAAAACCCACATTTTTAGCTAATATAGCATCTTGTGTCCTACTTTTTATAATTCACATCATCTCAGCATTTTTTCTAGCATTTAAAACATGATTTCAATTACTCAGTTGTCTAATGCCCCATTTTGTGTGTACATCATAATTTCTTTAGTCCTCTACACTAAAAACACTTTAAAACAACTCATCCTTGGCCTGTCCATTAGCTGGCAGAAAAATAAGGATAAGGATGTAAAGAGCGTAGCTTCAGAGGATCCCCTGGCCGCCTGTGGGAGAGGGTCTGAGGGGGTGGTTTACTGGGGCCTTCATGGGAGCTGACCTCTGAATGGGGCCCTCCTCTCAGAACTGGCGAGAGGGCAGGGCCTGGAGCAGGAACAAGATGACCCCACAGCAGTCCTAGCCGGGGGGCAGTCAGGGGACCTCCCAGGAAAAAAGGGGTGAAGCAAGGGTGCACTTGGCCGTGAGCCAGGGAACCCTCCAGAGCTGAACGGCCAACTGAAGATACTGTGGAAGGACTTTGTCCAGCTGTAGGAAGGAAAGGCCTCCCGTATCTTCTGGTTTAAGACTAAGACAGAAAGTGTGCTTTGAACTGAACTTGACCACCTTTTGATTTTTCCAGCTTCTGTAGCCTCACATGCATTGAGTACAATGGTCTGGGGGGAGGTGTCCCCAGAGCCTTGGACATGGCTACAGTGGATACAGAAGAAAGGAGTTTGTCAGTGGGGGCTAACCTCTAATGGGTCTCTGTCAGCCTATGTGGCTGACAGACTCAGATGGGTCATCTCGTGTAATCCTCACGTTGGCCCCACCTGGGAAGGTGACATTCATTTACTCACTAATGAGCATTTATCAGCCACCCATGATGAATCAGAAACTTCTAGATACAGCTTGCAGAGCAAACAAGGCCACCAAGTTCTCTGATCTCTATAGCTGTCAAACTTTAAATAACAGAGAGAGACTCTGAAGAATAATGAGGTGTATTTGGGATTGGCATTGCAAATGGGAATCTGTGTGGGCATATTCAGAGGGGCAGGGGTAAAGGGAGACTTCAAAGGCAAAATGAGGAGAATTATGTAAATCACACTGAAACATGATCCTCGACCACAGGATCAATGACAAAGGTGGCATCTGTCCAGTCTGGACAGGAGGTTTTTTTCTGTGTAAGGTACAGTAGCCTCTGTGCAAGGCTGGCTTCTGGCGGTCTGGGGCATATGTCCTATGCACTTCTTTAATCCTGCACTTTTGCAGGCCTGAGGAAGTCCATTCCCACGGTGCCCATGTGTTGCTCAATGCATCCATTTTTAGGAGGTGAACTTGACTCAGACTGCCTGGCTCACCCTCTGATTCAGGCATGACAGAATTGTGATTCAGGCAGACTTCTTCCCAGCTCAGGAGAGGCAGCATCCTGATTGGGCCAGGGCTGGGCCTGCAGGGCTGACCTGGTCCCTGGCGCGTGCTTGGTCAAATGAGTGGGAGGCCGACGTGAGGACTCCCTAGGTGTATATAAGCATGGACCCACAGAGGGGCCTGAGACTGGCGGTGAGGCCAGGGGAATGCAGGAGCCATGAGGGCCTTTTAGCCCCTGCCCCTGCTCACACATCCTGACTTCACAACCAGCCCCTGGATCTGCTTGGACACCCTCCCTGAGGTAGGCTTATCTCTGAATTGACCCACATGTTCCTTTGTTGACATAAACTAAGCTCTTCCTATGAGGTAATTTCGACCTGGGGGTGTGACATTTGGGAAACACCGATGATGGCAGTGTCAAAGAGCATGCCAGCTTGGGGCACCTCAACAGGCCATTGGTGGAGTTCCCCACTGTTCTGGCATGTTCCGAGGATACGAAGAGTGGGGAAAGTCTGGGGAGGACTCAGTCAGAACCTCAGGAAAACCTCCAGTTCTGCTCTCGAGCGAGTGCTGGTCCCATCTTCCAAAGGCTGCCCGTGGGAATCCAGAGCGCGTCCCCGCTGAGGTGTGAACTCCCTGGGAAGCGGGTTTTTCTTGGGGAACGAAGCTCACTGTTGGGGGCTGGTGGCCCAGCAGGGCAGGTCTGCTGGTGCTGTTAGGGGCCTGACATAGCAGCTGCTCCCCAGAGGGACGGCACTGTTCCCTGCCAGGAGCCAGCAGGCATGTCCCACCTGGAACTAGACTCGAGAACCAAGGCTGTTCCTCTGGGAAAGGCAGCAAAGTGCACCTTCCTCGTTCCCCATAATTAGTGGCTTTTCTCTGCTCCTGTGGGAGCCCTGAGGGCAGCGACAGGGCTTGGCTGTTGTCTGTTTCCCTGCACACAGAAGGTGCTCATTACTGATTTGTGAGTTGTCCAGCATTCCCTGAAGTTGGCAAGTGCATGCTGGAAACGAGGCCTCTGGTTTCCAAGGTGCCTGCCAAGCTGGGCTCCCACCAGGGGAAGAAGAGGAGCCACACAGGGACCCTCCACTGTGTGTCTTCTGGAAGGAACCTCACAGAACATTCAGACCTTAAAGTCCCAGCAGCTGCGGGTCTTGAGGCAGGAGGGCCCAGCGGTTGGGAGCGTGGGTTGTGGAATCTGGCAGATCCAGGCTTAGACCCACGTCTCCACCACCCCAGGGTGTGAGCTTCTGGAGAAGCTATCTCCCGCCTCCCTGACCCAGTTCTGGGTTTCCCCACATCTGGGTCGGGAGGGCTGATGCCTGCCTTTCGGGCATGTGGGAGAAGTGAACTTTCTGGGGTAGGATGTGGGGCTCTGGGAGTGGCACCTACAGGAGCAGCTGCTGGTGGCCTTAGCGAGACCTTATGAAATTGCTGTTATGCCACAATTTTTGACCCACGAAATGGCAATTTATCGGAGCTCCACCTGATAGGGTCGTCTCCCTAATTGCCTGGCTACGGACACTGAGCCTGGCTTGGACTCCACGAGGCATCTGGTTCGGGCTCCTCCCCAGCCCCATCCAGGCTCACCCTGTGGGGGTGTGAGATGCCTCTGCAGCTGCCCTGCCCAGTTCCCTTCTAGTCATTTGGGGAGAAGGAAACCGGGAGCCAGTGTCAGTGTTCCAAGCTTTGATACTGACTCAGTTCTGTTCCTACTGCATCAACCTCAGTGTCTGCCAAGGTTGGGAGGCATGGCAGGGTCGAAGCACTCCAGCTATCTGCAAGGGGTGTTGGAGCCTCCTGGAAACTCACCCAGGGGCAGGAAACGGCAGTTCTCTGGGAGGAAATGCCACACAAGGTCAGCAGTGTCTTTGGGCTTCATTTGGCCACTTAAGGGCTGATAAAGCTTGGGTTCCTCATCCATAAAATGGGCTTATAAAGACATCTACTTCACAGGGGTGTCATGAGGATTAAATGAATAAATATTTGTCAATCACGAGTAACAAAATTCGTAAATACTGTTTGCACGAATTTTGAGAAAATATTAGGAGTACCAAAGGAGCACCCAACACTTTGGAAGGACCATCTGAGTGTTTGGCATTAGTACTTGATTTGAGGTGGGTATTGTCAGGGAGGTGGGAGTTTGGGCCAGCCACAGAGTAGCTGCAGGGATAGGAATGAGCCCTCCTACTGACTCTGAGGTCCCTCTCCCCTGCCTTCCTTGGGCCTTCCCTTTTCTCTAAATACATAAGGGACAAACGCTTAGAGAAAGTGGTGGCTTGTGTAGGGGCTGGAGCCTGCAGGTGTCCACAGCCCTCCATACAAGGCCTTGCTCAGAGCCTCACGGGTTGTACAGAGGCAGGGCATTTGTGGGTCAAGTGAAGCAATCCCCGTTGAGTGCTCAGGTGGGTCCAGGCTCTCCAGACACCATCTAGGTATTTGGCAACAATAGGAACCTTCCCAGCCCCACAGAATGCAAATTCCACCAGGCTGTGTTATTCACGCCCAGATTCCCAGAAGAGATGCTGGGCACAGGTGGGAACACAAAGAATACTTGCCACAAGAATGAGTCAAACTGTAGCCTCTGAGGAGGTTGGAGACAAAAGGAGGAATCTGGAAAAATCACACTGTGAAAACCAATTCTCAGCTCCTAAATTACCCTCCAAATCCTATTGATTCTGCTGTCCCCGACTCTAGGAGAGGGACTCCCCTGAATCACCACTGTCTCTGCTTCCTCCAGGATTTTATTGCTCTCACCTGGAAAATTGCAACGTGCTCACTTCCCACATCTTTCCCCTTGAAAACAAGAGAGACCTCCTACAAACTAATCACATTGGATCCCTCCCTTGCCAAAAACCTTCCCATTTCCTCCAGGCTAAGAGCAAATCCTATGGCCAGTGAGCCCAAGCAAAAATGCTCAGAATCCTTACTCACCAGGGAAGCAAATCAAGATCACAGCAAGATACGTGGGCACATCCACTAGGAGAGCTGGAATCAGAATGACAGAGTGACCGAGTGCTGATGGGAATGTGGAGAAATCCAAGCCCCTGGTCTGCCAGGGAGATTTTAAATGGGACAGCTGCTGTGGAAGATTCTGGTGGTTCTCAAAAAGTCAAACACAGAACTACCATGTGACCACACAATTCCACTCCTAGGCACACACTCAAGAGAATGGAGAACATGGGTCCACATCAGACCTTGGGCACAAAAAAATGTCTTTTGGGCATGAATGTCCGTAGCAGCATTGGTCACAATAGCCCCAAACTGGAAACAACCCAAATGTCCATCAAATGATGGATATAAATTGCGGTTGTTTTAGTCCATTTGTGCTACTATAACAAATATCACGGACTTAGTAATTTATGAACAATAGGGTTTTTTTTTCTCATAGTTCTGGAGGCTGGGAAGTCCAAGAACAAGGTGATGGCAGGTTCAGTGCCTGGTGAGGGCTGCTTGCTGCCTCCAAGATGGTGCCCTGTTGCTGCCTACTCCGGGAGAGACAAATACTGGCAGAGGGAAGGCAAGAGCCATAATCATCAGAGCCATAATCCCATCAATGGGTGCTAGCCCATCTCCTAAAGCCCCACTTCCTAGTACAGTTGCCTTGGGGTTCAGTTCCAACACGAATTTTTGGAAAGACACAAACATTTAAAGCAGAGCAGTGGTCTATTCACATAATGGGATAGTGTCCAGCCATAAAAAGAAATAAAGTATGTGCTTTGTGCTACAACATGAATGAACCTCGGAAACATCATCATAAGTGAAAGAAGCCACACTCAAAGACCACATATGATTGCATTTCAAATTGAGAGAGAGAGAGAGAGAGAGAGAGAGAGAGAGAGAGAGAGAGAGAGAAATTACATTACTGGGTAATAGAGAGTGCTCATGGGGTGATGAAAATATTCTGGAATTAGATAGTGTTTACTTGAGTTCTTGTGTCCAGAGTTGTAGAAAGGGAGAGTGGGCCTGGAAAGAATAGGGGTGCAGGCAAAGCTTTATGAAGGACTTCTGCTTGGCCAGAGGGAGCCAGCACCTGGGGACAAAGACCGCAGGTTGGCTTGTTGTAAGGACAGACAAGGCAAGGCACCGAAGATAGCAGGAAAAGTTTTATTTGGCTGCAGCCAGGTTCAGAGGGCACAGCTTTTGCTGTAATCCAGGGAGTTTCAGAGTTTTATACCCAGCGTGTAAGGGGAGGGGCTCAGAAGTCCACAGTCTGCAGAAGTTCACATAAAAGCAGCTTTTTCTTTCACTGTTCTGGGCAAGTTAACCCTTCAAGGACAGCGCCTGAGAAGGGGAGAGCTGCTTCTCCCCTCTCTTTCCTCCCCTGCCAGCTGTTACCATGGAGCCTAATTGGTAACTTCTCTTAGCTTAGAAATGTAGACATCTCTGTGGAGCCCAGCTCAAGGCCAGAGGCCTTGTTTGCACATTTCTACAAACTACTATACTGGATACATGTTTGTGAAAAACTAGGGGGTGTCCAGCACCTGCAGTGCTGGTATCTTCCCGGCCAGTGGCCAAGTAAAACAGGGCAACACAAAAATAGGAAGTTTATCTACATTGAACACTTTTGTAGAGTCTCTTTTGCTGACAGTCCTAAAATCAGCCATGGGGAAGATTTCTGGAGAAGCCCAGTCAAGACTTTTCTGTGGAGAAAGAGGGTGCCACTATGGGCTCAGGTGAAGGATAAGGGGAACAGCTTTTCTGGACCTGCAGGGTAGGCAGGAGCTTGGTCTCTTGACATGGTCAGATGTGGAGTGGACTCCAGTCATGCCACGTGCTTCAGCCTGTGACATGTGTCTCATCACTGTCTTAGGTGGGGGCTGTGGGTTTTACTATGTTAACAAGGTGAACCTAACTGTGGGTTACTTTGGTGGCCACTCTAGGCCTGAATTTGCCCCTCGCCACCTGGAGTTGCCCTTATCATCTGGAACGTCTCTGATATTATTTTCAGAATTGCAGACCCCATGGCCTGGCTGGAGCTGGCATTTCTACTGACCACAGTCTCCGGAGGCTGAGCTGACCCCCAGCCTCCATCCTGGCGTGTTGCCTCACTCTCACAGTCTGGAAGACGGGGCACTTTTGCTCCTGATCTCCTTGTGCTGCTGTTCACTCCACAAGACCCAGAGGTGGCCTGGCCGCCCTTTGTCCTAGGGGCCTGTTTCTCAAGGGGGCCCCTAACTGCCAGTGGCACATCTTATGAAAATTCTGACACACCACCGAATCATACTCTTAAAAGCTGAATTATATGTGATAAGAAATTATGCATCAACTGTAAAAATTGGGAATGGTCCACTCGGCTAGTGGAGCAGCCAGAGTTCCCCTTCCTCTCCCTGCCCTCTCTTTTCTCTAAGCCATGGCCCACCAGCTGTTGTCACACTCACCTTGCAGAGCGCCCCCTCCCCTCGCCTTAGTGCAGCCCTGCTCCTGCCCGGCAGTCTCCTCTGCTCACCTTCCCTGCCCTCTCCGGGCTCCTCCGCCATGCTCGCCCCTGTGCAGCTCCCTGGTGAATGTCCTCAGCTAACCTCCCAGGTTGCCAGCTCACGTAGAGAAAGTTTGGGCCCTGGGGATATTTCTAATATAAACATTTTCATCAGATTATACCAACACTGTTGAATTTTCATCAGGGACGTGCTTGCCAGAGCGAACGGCTTGTCGCTGGAATAAGCCCTTGATCAGTTTTCTAAGAGAGCACAGCTGAGCTGCTCCTGCCTCCTGCATGTTTTCTAAACTTTTAATCATATTCGATCCTTTCCTGTCTGTACTTTATAATGGTTATAACCGGTCCTGTTTTCTTGGATCAGAGCCTGCAGGTCTAGTCTTGTCACGAAGACTCAGTCCCTGCAGCCCTGTCGGGCAGTAGGCCTTTCTTTTCTGGTGTAGCTTGGGTACCTTTGAGTTTTATATCATCACATTGTCTAAATGATAACGTTCACTATGACTTGGATAATAGACTGATAGACACTTATTTATCAAAAAATTAAATTTTAAGTAAATAATACACGTACAGGGTGGAAAAAGGTATAAAGAGAAAGCCTGTGGTGCCCCTCCTGCTGACCCGCTCTCTCATGTCTGCCCCCAGCGGCCATGTCGTGGGCAGGGCTCCCCAGGAGGCTGATGGCTCTGCGTGGGATTCTGTCAGGAGGTCTATCAGGAAGGGCCCTGGGCAGAGGGAGAAGCTCGGCTGAGACACAATCTCCGGGAAAGCTCAGCTGACCCCAAGGGGCTCAGCAACCTTGCTGTCCCCAGTTGGGACAGGGTCCACCTGGCCCTTCTGTTTTGGGTCTGTTGGTGACCGCACACAGCCCTTCCTGGAGATGACTTTTGGAGTAGCTTCTTCGTGTTGAGGGCAACAGCCCAGCTGGGAATTAATGCCCCTGAAGGAGACACCAATGTCACCAAGTTATCTCCTAACCCCCCCCCCACCCTTTTTAGCTGAATACTTATTATTATTGTGGTTGTCATACCTCTGGGGGCTCCTCCAAGCCAGTTAGCAGTCAGAACCCCCTTTCTCTGGCATGCCCCCCATGGCTCTGCCTGCCTGGGGGCGGGGCCCACACTGGGGGTGGGATGGTGGGTGTGCTGGGCCTTAGCCCCAGGCAGCTGAGGAGCAGAGCCTGAGAATTCAGGCTTTTTCTTCTTTCTTTTTTCTAAAGCAACTTTCTAGGGCTCTGGAGTTATAAAAAGCTCCCATGTGTCATTTCCTGGCAGTTGGACAGCCGTAGAATGCCACTCTGCGAGTGCCAACTGCCCCTACCCCATCCAAGGTTTTACATCTGATTAATGTGTTGGTTCTGACAAACGCTGCTGAAGGTCGTCATAAATAATAAATAATTTTGTAAGGCGATTGCTTAATTAAAAAATTTTAAAAAACCTTTATTTTATTTATTTGTATGTGGTGCTGAGGATGGAACCCAGTGCCTCACACATATGAGAAGAGTACTCTACCGCTGAGCCAAACCCCAGCCCCATTTTACAGCAAACACCTAATACAAAGTACACTTTCCAAATGTTCCCCACGATGTCTCTGGAGGGCGCGCGGCCAGCTCCAGAGAGGTAAGTGCAGAAGTGCAGAAGGAACCCCCTGGGGAGAGGACGGGCCACCTGGACAGGGGTCTGCTCACCTGTAGGTTGAGCGCCCCCTGTCTTGGTGGATGGTTTTGGCCCCTGACACAGATGTGACTGCAGGAGACACATCTTCCCTTTCTGCCTGTCCTCCTAGCCCCAAGGAGACCTGCCCTGTCCTGCAGAGGGAGAGATTGTTCCAGTCGGGAGACCATGCCTACAGAATCCCCGCCCTGCTCTACCTGCCCCAGCAGAAGACACTGCTGGCCTTTGCAGAAAAGCGAATGAGCAAGAAGGACGAGCACGCGGAGCTGATCGCCTTGCGCAGAGGAGACTATGACGCGTCTGCCCACCAGGTTCAGGTAAGGCAGCCGTGGCTACAGACACTCCCCTGGGATTGCTCCCCACACACCCCTTTGCTGGTGAGTACAGAGGGACCCAGGCCTGGATCTCATACAACGAGGGTCATTCCATCCTTCCATGGCTAAGGGAAGGGCACAGAGAGAGCAGACACCTTGAAGCCCAGGAGGGAGCAAGGAAACCGTTCAGTGGTGGGGCGCCCCAGGCAATCCCAGTGGTCACACTCGCCTGGGTTCACCAAGACACCAGGTCCTGCTGGCCTGGCCATCTGCTTTAGTGCATGAATTTCCCAACACCCTTGAGACCCCAGGGAGGAGCAGTTCATTACCATGAAACTGGCATCTTTGAGTGCAATTAACTTGAGGAGCTAGGTGTGGGGTGATTGCTGCGTCCTAAAGTTCCAAATTGTAATCTTGATAAAGACACCCAAGGCTGGCTTACTATATTTGAAGGGTTTAATATTATTATAATTACTTTGTGGTCATTACCAAATAGTAGCTATTCAAAGCATGATTTTTTTTAAATTTTGATTTTGATTGACACATAATGATTGTACATGTTCATGGGACTCAAAGCAGACAGACCTGGGTTCAAGTCCTGGTTCCATTTCTTACCAGAGGGATGGCCTTGGGCAACTCGGCCTTATATGAGCCTCTCATTCTCCAGGTGTGAGATGGAGCTACTAACACTTGTCCCCCAGGATTAGGAGATAGATGAGGCAGTGCATATTAGACCTTTGGCACAGCATCTGAGATTAGAATCCCTTATTGGGGGTTACTGCTAATGAGTGGGGGTGAACGGCAGAGCTGGGGCATGTACGGCAGACTTGGGCATCCAGGAAGGTCAGTGTTTAGTCCTCAATATCTTGAGGCAATGCCCTCTTAGGATGCATTAATAGAGTATCATGCATAGAAGATAGGAGGAGGGCAACAGGTTCTATCTGGCACTGGTCCGATTATTGAGGCCCCCACTAAGTCTGACGTTCAAGCTAGACTGGGCTGGTAAACAGGAGCAACCGGGGAGAAGGCGTCACGGCTCCTCCGGAGTCATCTTTGTATCTTGGCGTCTGGCACATCCTGCGTACTCTGTATGCTGATGGGAATGGAAGTGACAGAGCTGCTCAGTGAAAAGTGGGCACCAGGAGGGATCGGGGAGCCCCAGCCCACAGTGCTCTGAGGAGGGTCTCAACAGTGGTCCTGTCCCCATGAGACACACCGCCCCACCCACCCCTGAGAGTGTGGCTCCTGATTCGGTCACCTGCTTCAGTACTGTGCTTCCCTTTCCTCCCCTCCCCCCACGTCCAGTGGCACGCTCAGGAGGTGGTGACCCAAGCCCAGCTGGAGGGCCACCGGTCCATGAACCCGTGCCCGCTATACGACGAGCAGACCGGGACCCTCTTCCTCTTCTTCATCGCCATCCCAGGGCAGGTCTCCGAGCGCCACCAGCTGCAGACCGGGGTCAACATGGTGCGGCTGTGCCATGTCACCAGTGCTGACCATGGCAGGACCTGGAGCCCTGCCAGTGACATCACCAGCTCGGCCATCGGCCCCGCCCACAAGGAATGGGCCACCTTTGCAGTGGGCCCGGGGCACTGTCTGCAGCTGCACAACCAGATGCAGAGCCTGGTGGTGCCCGCTTATGCCTACCGGAAGCTTCCCCACCACCACTCGCCCTCCCCAGCCTCCTTCTGCTTCCTCAGCCACGACCATGGCCGCACGTGGCAGAGAGGGAACTTCGTGGCCCAGGACTCTGTGGAGTGCCAGGTGGCGGAGGTGAGGTCCCGGGGGCAGAGCGTGGTGTACCTCAACGCCAGGAGCTCCCTCGGGGCCCGGGTGCAGGCCCAGAGCACCAACGCGGGGCTGGATTTCCAGGGGGCCCTGGTGACCCAAAAGCTGCCCGAGCTGCCCCACGGCTGCCACGGGAGCACGGTGGCCTTCCCCAGCCCCAGCTCCCCAGACCAGTGGCTGCTCTACGTTCACCCCACTGACCCCCGGAAGAGGCGCAACCTGGGAGTGTACCTCAACACCAGGCCCCCGGAGCCTGCCGCCTGGTCGCAGCCCACCCTGCTGGCCACAGGCAGCTGCGCCTACTCCGATCTGCAGAGCATGGGGCGCGGCCCCGACGGCTCGGCCCAGTTTGGGTGTCTGTATGAGGCGGGTGACTACGAGGAAGTTGTTTTCCTCCTGTTCACCCTGAAACAGGCCTTCCCAGCCCAGGTCCAAGCCCCATGAGCCAGCCACCTGCTGGCACGCTCCCCGGCCCACACTAGGTACCCACAGCAGCGCTGATTATTTCCCATTCCTTTCAGTGTCCCCGAAGGTCATCTCTGGGTCCCTTCATTAAGTGGCAGAGAGGTCTGCTTCTTGGCTGTCTTTGCCTCCTTCGCTTTCCAGTCTTCCCATAAGGTTCTGTTTACAGCCAGAAATCAAAGGAGCCTGGCTTTCCCCAGCCCCTTGGCAGCAAGGCAAGACTGGCTGCACGGTGGCTGTCACTCTGCACGGTGGCTGCCAAGCTGCAGAGCTCAGCCTGCCTGCCTCCCCCCCACCCCGTTATTGTGATGTGCTTGATAAATGACCTACTCCAGCCCCCTTCTTCTTGGGGATGCTCATAGTGTTCCTGGGGAAAGGCTAACCTGAGGATGTGGATTAGCAGAGGTGTGTGTGCGTGTGTGTGTGTGTGTGTGTGTGTTTTCTTGTTGATGCTTCAGAGCAGACAGACTGGGAAACAGCTTTGCAGAAAGGTTAGGCAGGGTCGAGAATAATTAAGCTCACTTAAGTCACTGCGTTCCTTTCTTAGGGCTGCCACAACAAATTATCTCCAACTTGGTGGCATAAAACAACAGAAATGTGTCCTCACCGCACCTCAGGCGAGAAGCCTGAAATCAAGCTGTTTTCAGGGCCACACTCTCTCCAGAGACTGTCCCTTCCAGCTTCTGGTAGATCCTGGTAACTCTTGGTATCCCTCAGCTCGGGGCTGTATGGCTCCCATCTTGGTCTTCACATGACCTTCTCTTGCATGTTCTCCCTAGTCACTCATGAAGACGTTTGTCACTGGATAAACCAGGATCAGCTCACCTCCAAGATCCTTGATGACATCTGCAGAGACACTTTTCCCCAGTCAGGTCACGATCACAGATGCTGGGGGTAGGAGGTGGATGTAAGTTTTGGGGGCCACCACTCAACCCACTATGGTCATAAGCACTTGGTTTTGCACAGAGGACGTGGCTGAAGGCAGGACTGAGGTTCAGATGGATCAGATAGTTTGGAAGAATCGGGGTGGGGCGGGGGCTGTTAGCTGTGATCCCTGGGGCAGGGCTGTGGTTCTTGCCATAAAGCAAGAGTAGGGAGAAGGCTGCCCCTGCTTGTCTCAGGAGCGGCCACCTGAGAGGGAGCCAGCCTGGGTACAGGAGCGACACTTCTCTGACCCCCGGGAATTTCTAAGGACTGAGTCCTATGTCTTGGGAAAACTTGTCCCCTGCTCCTGCCAGAGCCCCTCTAGTGGGCGCAGTGACAACAGTCATAGGTTCTTGCAGCTGAGTGGCATCTTTGCCTGGCCCATTGTGGGGGTTGGTCCTAGGCACTGGCCACGTGTCAGGATGCTGCTTCTCCTGGTGGGGTTCCGAGAAAGCCGGCTGGAAGGATGAGGGATTGGGGCCCGGAATGGGAGGTTAGGCCCCTCCGTTCTGGGGATGGCCACCCAGTGTCTTCCAAACCACTCAGAAGAGGCTGGGGTGGAGGCTGAGGCTGAGCCTGGGGGCTTGAGCACTTGAATGGCACCTAGGTCGGCAGACCTCGAGAGGCTAAGGTGGGCAACCCTATAGTGTATTATCCAGCAGGGACGCTTGTGAGAGTCCAGTTACGCTTGGTAACAGGCACTAACCAGGACTGTCCCTGGTAAGCGGGGGGTTCAAGTCGAAGACCCCCCCCCTCCCCGAGGACTGTGCCAGAGGCGGCACCATTTACTTCCCTGGCAAAGCTCCTCATCTGTTTAGGCAGATGAGGCAGGAACGGGAGGGGTGCCTGGCCACTGTCAGGCCCACTGTCCCTCTCCTGAACTCCAGGCTGTCTCTGGGTCAGCGGCTCCCTGCTCCAGGCTGGTTAGCATCCCCTTGGAGCTTTTCAGCAGTGCTGCTGCCCGTGCCCCACCCGGAGCAACCAGTTCAGAATCTCTGTAGTGTCCCAGGCAGGTGAAGGTCCCTAAGTTATTCTAAAGAACAGAAGGATCCAAACCTACGTGGGCTGGGGATGTGGCTCAAGCGGTGGCGCTCGCCTGGCATGCGTGCGGCCCGGGTTCGATCCTTAGCACCACATACAAACAAAGATATTGTGTCCACCAAAAAACTAAAAAATAAATATTAAAAAGTTCTCTCTCTCTCTCTTAAAAAAAAAAACACTTACGGGCACTGGAGATCTCTAGAGTTCCTTCTGGTTCTGAGTATATACGAATGGCAAATTCTTCTTAGCCAAATTAAAAAGAAAAAAAAAAGCAATGACTGATTTGATTAAAGCTGAATTGATCAGCCTCCCAAAAAACTCCATTAAGAGTGTGCAAAGAGTGCATCCAACCTGGAAAGCAGTGTAGAGATTCCTCAGAAAACTGGGAACGGAACCAGCATTTGACCCAGCTCTCCCACTCCTCGGTCTATACCCAAAGGACTTAAAAATCAGCATACTACAGGGACACAGCCACATCAATGTTTACAGTAACACAATTCACAATAGCTAAACTTGGAAGCAACCTAGATACCAGTCAATAGATGAATGGATAAAGAAACTGTGGTACATATACACACAATGGAATATTACTCAGCAATAAAACAGAATAAAATTATGGCATTTTCAGGTAAATGGATGGAGCTGGAGAATATCATGCTAAGCAAAGTAAGCCAATCCCCAAAACACAAAGGCTGAATGTTTTCTCTGATAAGTGGATGCTGATCCATAATGGGGGTGGGCATTCTACAACAGCATTCTGCTGTTACGTATAACTGACTAGAACAAATAAAAAAATTTTAAACTAAAAAAAATTTTTTAAACATTACAAAGAGCTGGGCATGGTAGGACACCACTGTAATCCCAGTGACTCAGGAGACTGAGGCAGGAAGACCACAAGTTGGAGGCCAGCCTCAGCAACTTAGCAAGGCCCTCAGCAATTTAGTGAGACCCTGTCTCAAAATAAAAAATAAAAAGGGCTGGAGTAGGGCTGGGGATACAGCTTAGTTGGTAGAGAGCTTGTCTTGCATGCACAAGGCCCTGGGTTCAATCCCCAGCACCACAAAAAAGAAACAAGGCTGGAGTAAAGCTACTATTTTATTAGGTATTATTATTAGAAAGCCATTATTTGTATCACACATATCTGACAAAGGGCTTGTATCCAGAGTATATAAAGAGACCCCACAAATCAATAAGAAAACCAATCCAATAGCAATGGGCAAAAGATGTGAATAGGCACCACACAAAAGAAGATCTTCTCAAGGCTGCTAAACATGCGGGAATGTGTTCAACACTCTTAGTCATCAGGGAGATGCAGACCCAAACCATGAGACGCTTATCCCCTGGGATGATAAAATTTAAAGGAGTGGCAATAGTGAGTATGGGCAAGGATATGGTGCCATTGGAACCCCACACATTTCCAGAGTAAGATTTGCTGGTACAATCACTTTGGACAGCTATATTTGGTAGGATTCCCCTATGACATGGCAATTCCACTCTGAAGCACGTATCTAGGAGAAACGAGTGCATACAGCTGCCAAAGACATGGAGATGTGGCTCTGTAGCCACCTCGTTTACAAGGAAACATTCACCCTGGAAACAACCCAAATGTCAGTGAAAAATAGGATGGGAACGTAGCTTAAGAGGTGTTTGTACATTTGGAATATTATACAATCAAGAACAAACTACTGCTATACTCAATTGCATGAATGATTATAAGTCATCATGTTGAGAGAAAGAAGCTGGCATAGCACACATTTCACAACAGAGTATGTACTTAGCCAAGTGTGGTGCACATGCCTGTAATCCCAGCATCTTGGGAGGCTGAGGAAGGAGGATTGCAAGTTCAAAGCCAGCCTCAGCAACTTAGCAAGGCCCTAAGCAACTTGGCGAGACCCTGTCTCTAAATAAAATATAAAAAAGGGCTGGAGATGTGGCTCAGTGGTTAAGTGCCCCTGGGTTCAATTTCCAGAACCAAAAAAAAAAAGAGTATATACTTTATGAAAGAGTATATACTAGATTTTCTATTTATATGAAGTTCAAAAACAGGTAAAACTATGGTACGTAAATCAGAATAGTGGCCACTTCTGGTGGGAGGAGCCATTGACTAGGAGAGTGCGAGGGGGAGACTTTCAGGTTCTGGAAAAGTCCTTTTGTTGGATCTGGGGCTGGTTATGGGGGCAACTCCAAACACAAAATCCCATGAGCTATACACTTGAGATCCATGTACCCTACTTACTATATGCATGTTATGCCTCATTAGAAAATAAAAGTTGGACTGAATCTTTTACTTACTAGTTTAAGTTCAACAGCAATGTATCAGGTTTTAAAACTTTGGAATGGAATTTTTGAATAAACTTTTTATTTTGGAAGACTTTTAGATTTTATAGAAAAGTTGCAAATCCAGAACAGAGTGTTCTCAAGATACCCAGTTTCCCCTGTGTTAGCATCTTACATAACTGTGGCACATTTGTCAAAACGGAGAGGTTAATGTTGATATGTGACTAGTGACTAAACTTTAGTCTGTTCAGACTTCACCAGGTTTTCAGGTTGATGCACAGGTCCAACAGGCCTTCCCTCCCCTACCTTTCCCACTTTCTAGGCTAATAAATGAATAAGCAAACGCAAAAACTGTGCTTCAAGCATGCATTGCTGGTGTGCAAATGTCAGAGGTAATTCTGGAGCTCAAGACGGTGCCCCCCAAATCAATTACCCCAGAGCTCCAGGCTTTTAACATGTTGTGGGGTGGGATGCAGGACTGGCCAATTCTGAGTCCAGCCACTTCTTGGGACATGCATGAGCCAGCATGGGTCAGACCCCAGCTGGAGACTAGGGAACCAGCCCTGGTCAACATCCCAGCTGGTGGATGGTCAAGCAGAACAGAACACAGCAGGGTTCAGGGAAGCCAGCCCACTCCCTCTGCTCAGGCCAGTGAGAGCTGAGCTCCAGGTGTGGACCCCTGTGGTCCTGATTCTCGCAGACATTTGACTGAGGGCTCCTACAGCCGGCCTCCCCTCTACGCAGCTACCCCTGTGCAGGCTGGGGTGCAGCCACTGAGGAAGGGATCCAGAAGCTGGGGAGGGGACCTGGCAGCTAGCATATCTGCCCCTGGAGAGGAGGGCCAAAGCCCTGAGGAGGCCCATTCCTAAGGATGTCCCCTCCTGATCCCTAGAAGCTGTGAAGGTTGCCTCACATGGCGAACATCGTAGAGGAGGCGACATTAACCTTGGGATGGACGATTATCCTGGATGTGATCATGTGGATCAAGTGTCCTTATGAGAAGGAGAAGAGACTAGAGGAAGAGGTCATGTGACCCCAAAGCCACATGCTGAGTTGTGCAGCTGAGCTGGGGGAAAGGCAAAGGGTTCTGCTCCAGCCTGGGCGGGAAGTCGGCTGCTCACACCACTGCAGCCCGGGGAACGGACTGTGGATTCTGCCCTTCAGAACTCTAAGAGAAGAGCTGTGTGTTGTGTTAAGCTGCCCAGTTCATCAGGCGTGTGAAGACGGTGGTACACAAGCCAACGAGAAGTCAGCCTGACAGTGGAAACAGCCTGACATTTGTCAAGGCAGAAAATGAAAAGTCTATCAGAGTCATCTTTTGGCGGGGACCCACCGCAGCCGCGACAGAGTCTGCGTCCTCCCCTGAGAATTCTGACCAGGCCAAAGCCAAGCACACGTGTGTGCACATGTGCAGACACACATGCACACACACGCATGCCAACACATACCCCTTAATGCACATGGATGTGTAGAGTCTCTGCTCCGGGCCTCTCCTCTCAGGGACCAGCTCTTCATGTTGATTCTTCTTAAAGGAACCTCCTGGCTGGGGACACTCATGCCAGCCCCCTCCCCTGTGTCCTGGAAGCCCAGTGGTGCTGATAAGGAGGCTCTGACCCTCTCACAGCCGCTGAGACTAACCCATCAGCATGCTGGCCACAAAGACTAATCAAAACCTGTGGGTCCTTAGATTAAGGTAAGAAATCTTAGCCCTTTAGAGATGAACGTGAGCTTAAAGTGAATAAAGTCTGACCTATTCGATTGGCAGGTGGGTGAAAGGGGGTCCCATTGGGTCCAGTGACTTCCTTCAGCTCACAAAGGTAGCGAGTCTGGGCCAGGAGACCAACTGCGTTTTCTGATCCCAGATCCACACTCCCACATCTGCTCCGTTATCCCTGTCTGAACATCCATGAAGTCCAAGGGGTCTCTGGGTCTGGCATGTGGAGTCCTGCTTGGCCTGTCTCTATAGCTGTGCCCAGAGTCACTGGACACCATATCACTGTCCCCACCCTACCCTCATGTCCTCACCAGAGGAGTGGAGAGGTGTCAGCGCAGGCTGACAGCCCTGGTTTGCAGAATTGCCAGAGTATAAGAGCTGAGAAGCAGATTCACCCTCCCTTGTCGACAGCCTGAGAAGGCAGCAACTCCCAGGAGCCAAGCAGAGCTGGTGAGCTCAGAGGCCCAATGCTGCATCGTGAGGACTCAGTGCCGGGACCATACTGCCATCCGCGTCTCATCCCCAGCAAGTGGAGAGGAAAGGAAGGCGTCCAGGATTTAAATGTGCAGCTCAAGGAGAGGTGAGAAAGCTGACTGTACTTTTGGCAAGGTACCACTTCTTCAAATTCCGTTTTTGTACTGCTTTTAGAAAATGTTTCAAAGTAATAGATGCCAAACATTTAGAGATGCAAAGAATCAGGGAAAAAAAATCACCCAGAATCCCACTAACCACATTTTCTTCTGGTGTAGGGAATTTTCCTTTTTCTCCTGAACTAAGACCATGCTCCAAAATTGAGGTCCCAGCCCCCCAGATCTGACCTTTCATGGTGAGCACTTCCTCCCAGTTACTTGCCACCGAAAGGTAATATGTCAGAGACACGCCGTGGGTTACTTCCTGCTCCTTTGATATTGGGGGCTGAAGTCACCACCACTTGTTTTCTGTTATAAATAACACTGAGAGGAACATCTTTGTGAGTAATTCTTGGTCTGTATTTGGGATTATTTCTGTAAATCAAATCTTTTAAAAGGTACTATGGAGTCAAAGACAAAACATTTGAAATCTCTCAAAAGGTGTTGTTTGCAAATACAGAGCACAACCTCACTTCTGAGTTAAAGTACCTGGAAGTGGCTTTCCTCTTTTATACTTTTAAACACCTGAGTTCCTGGAGATATGAAGTCATGCATTTGCTCTTTAATTCATAAATCATGGCTCCTGATTTCTCCCAGATGTGGTTTTATAATATGGAGAAAAGACCAGAAGTGAACAAATACAGATAGTTCTAGAATCATGGTCAGAAGGGCCCTGGGTGTTACCTAGCCTAACTTTGTCCATTAGAACACAGAGGCCTGAGGAGGCTGGGTCACCCTTGCTCAAAGTCACTTTTGTCCTGGCCTGGGCTGTGTCAGGCCCTTCAGACCCCTCCCCATATCCACCCTGGACCAGAAGCTCAAGGGTCCCAGCCCCTGACACGGCCTCTCTCTTTCCTTTCCCTCACCTGACGGTCAGGCCATCAAGTCCTCCCCAGTGCCCAAGAAGGCTGGGGTCAGGAGGAGCCCAGGAAGATGTTGTCATCTGAGCCATGTTACATACCATGTGGAGCATTTCCCTTCTTTCTTGAACTTTTAGGAACATTCCAAGTGTCGTTTTATAATACCAAGGCCTCTTGGTTTTCTGTGAGGACCTAAACGCCAATGTGTTAAGGACCTGGGAATTTTTCTCCATCGGTCCAGCTGAGGATGTCCTGCACTGTGCTGAGGGGAAGAAGCCAAGCGGCTGCCCGGGCACCAGGCCTGATTCTAGGGCCTCTACAAGTGCTCCCACTTGATCCTCTTAAGCTGAATGAGACCAATCACTATGCTCACCCCCATTTCACAGAGCAGGGCACTGAGACAGAGAAAGATCAAGCCTGTTGCCCACCATTGCATAAGGAAGAGAGCTCTGGGAGGTCAGGCTTGGGTGTCCACTCTTTCCTTACTTGGCCAGGGAGGAGAGTGACAAGTGGTGACTGGGGGAGGAATTAGACCCTGGGCAGCTGTCAGGATGCAGTTGGAAAGTCCACCAAGGAGTCCCAGGAGGGCAGCGCTGCCCACTGCACCTCTGGAGAAGGCTCTTGGTTGATGTCTGTGGCCTACATGGATGGGAAGACACACTCAGGGTGCTGGGTGAGAGGTACTGAGCACAGAGCGAGTGGGGGGTAGGCTAGGAAGATCCCCGAGGTGTATGCTGGAGGAACCTGGTGTCACCTGTCTGGAGCTGGCATCTCATCCTTGGACTGAGCAAAGCTGTCAGGATTGAGCCCTGACACCAGACACTCAGGTTTGCATTTTAGAAAGACACCTCCGGTGGGTGTGTAGGACTGTCCCCTGCAGGTGGGGTTAGAGTCTGGGGAGGACAAGCTAGGGAAGGCTTCTCAAAATAGCCCAGGGACAAGTGATGCAAGGGCTGTAGCCAAGGAAGAGGATTCCAAGGCCTTCTAGAACTGCATGATCCATCCGGTGTGGGTGGTGAGAGAGGGGGTGGGGATGAGGATGTCACCTCTTTCTGGCTAGGAGAAGCCAGTTTGGTGGCAGTAATCTGGATAGGCGATACATGTGGAGGAACAAGTTTTTGATATAAAGATGGGAAAATCAGATGAGAAGGGTGTAAGTTCCCAGAGGATTATCTACACAGGCAGCAGGAAGTGTGGACGGGAGCCCAGGAACGAGGTTAGGGCTGGAAACACAGATTTGGAAGCCCCTGGAGGGGAAGGTGCCCTGGGAGGGTTTGGAATAGACAAAGGAGAAGGTTA